AGAACTGAACTAGAACTGAACTAGAACTGAACTAGAACTGAACTAGAACTGAACTAGAACTGAACTAGAACTGAACTAGAACTGAACTAGAACTGAACTAGAACTGAACTAGAACTGAACTAGAACTGAACTAGAACTGAACTAGAACTGAACTAGAACTGAACTAGAACTGAACTAGAACTGAACTAGAACTGAACTAGAACTGAACTAGAACTGAACTAGAACTGAACTAGAACTGAACTAGAACTGAACTAGAACTGAACTAGAACTGAACTAGAACTGAACTAGAACTGAACTAGAACTGAACTAGAACTGAACTAGAACTGAACTAGAACTGAACTAGAACTGAACTAGAACTGAACTAGAACTGAACTAGAACTGAACTAGAACTGAACTAGAACTGAACTAGAACTGAACTAGAACTGAACTAGAACTGAACTAGAACTGAACTAGAACTGAACTAGAACTGAACTAGAACTGAACTAGAACTGAACTAGAACTGAACTAGAACTGAACTAGAACTGAACTAGAACTGAACTAGAACTGAACTAGAACTCAACTAGAACTGGACAAGAACTAAACTAGAACTGATCTAGAACTTCACTAAGAATTTATTAAATAATGAAATGTTTTTTTAATACTTTCTTGTTTGCTTTTTAGGATATTGTTTTATATTTTATGATTCATTTAATTGAAATTGTTTATTAATTGAAATTTCCAAACACATAAAATTTGATGCCACAACATGTTAACATAACACCATATTGATTTACAAAATTTAATTGCAATATTACTTTTGTTTAATGTGCAAAAAAATAAAATCTGCAATATTTATAGTTTTTTTTCGGCACCAAACTGACGACTTAAAAGAATGTGCCCAGCACAGCAAATTAGAAAAATTAGGTTCTTTGTTAAAGGAAATTTTAAACTTTTTTATTATTTTATAATAATTTTATTATATTTGTAAAAATATGTACAAATGTTAAGGTATAGTTTTTAGATTAAGGATTAATGTTTGGATTGAACTGAGTTTAAGGCTTATAATTTTCAGTTTATAAATCTGTTGGTGCTAAAATTATTCGTAGGGCCGATAGCTAATGATTTGTTGAGCGACAATATTCAAAATTTCTCTGGCTGGCATATCATGTTGATCATTGATAATGGCCGTAATGCGACCACATTCCTTTATATAGTTCTCCAACTCTTTCAAATTGGGCGGCTTATATGGATCCTTAGCCTGCAAAGATTGCAAACATTGGCCCGTCATATTGGCCAACTGGGAGCGAGGAGGACTAAAGACCTCATCTAGATCATATAGTTCCAAAGGAGGAGCAGCAGGTTCACTAAAAACCGGCGGAAAGGTCTACAAATGAAAATAATGAGTCAAAATTGAAATTTCAAAATTCCTTTTAACTCTTACCGCTAATTGCAATGGAGGCAAAGGTATCTCAAATTGTGGCTTAATAATCTTTAAAGGTTCATATTTAACATTTAACTGCTGATAAGCACTGATAACATCCTTTAGCAAACGATTACTTAAACCATACAGAGTCATATCAAACATTTGCTTAAAATCGGCTGGAATTTCGGAACCTATAGAATCAATTAGGCAAGCCTTGGGTAAATCGGCTATAAAACCAATATCGGTAAAGGTTTTATTATCGTTCAACTACAAAAAGAAACCAGTAGTAATAAAATAAATAAAAAACTATTCAAATTGAAGACTCTTACCTCCACATCATTAAAATCCAAATGATTAAATTTCAACTCATTACTACCCAATAATTTCACTATATATTCCAATATGGCATCATTGGTCTTATCGCTGGTCAAATATTTATCATGAAACATATAACCCGATCCTAAAGCCAATATTTTACCTTGTTTCTCATTACAATAATAACCCATTAAAGGACGATTGAAGGGATAGACCACCGGGCCAGTAGTCATTAAAACATTGGCAGGATCCGAAACATTTAATGTGGCTCCATAGGGATATTGAAAATGTAATTTATATTTTTCATCACTAAAATCATAATCCACCATTTCAACATGCTGTTTTAGCAGGTAACGCCACATGGATTCACATACCACACCACCACCAATGCAACATTCTTTGGGATGCATATTCTTATAGTAATGGGGACGAATGACGGTGTCTGGAAGAGTTAAAGGAATTAATTGAAAAGAAAATTAAAGAACGAAGCAAAAACTGAACTAGAACAGAACTAGAATAGAACTAGAACAGAACTAGAACAGAACTAGAACAGAACTAGAACAGAACTAGAACAGAACTAGAACAGAACTAGAACAGAACTAGAACAGAACTAGAACAGAACTAGAACAAAACTAGAACAGAACTAGAACAGAACTAGAACAGAACTAGAACAGAACTAGAACAGAACTAGAACAGAACTAGAACAGAACTAGAACAGAACAAGAACAGAACTAGAACAGAACTAGAACAGAACTGAACTAGAACAGAACTAGAACAGAACTGAACTAGAACAGAACTAGAACAGAACAGAACTAGAACAGAACTAGAACAGAACTAGAACAGAACTAGAACAGAACTAGAACAGAACTAGAACAGAACTAGAACAGAACTAGAACAGAACTAGAACAGAACTAGAACAGAACTAGAACAGAACTAGAACAGAACTAGAACAGAACTAGAACTAGAACTAGAACAGAACTAGAACAGAACTAGAACAGAACTAGAACAGAACAGAACTAGAACAGAACTAGAACAGAACTAGAACAGAACTAGAACAGAACTAGAACAGAACTAGAACAGAACTAGAACAGAACTAGAACAGAACTAGAACAGAACTAGAACTAGAACAGAACTAGAACAGAACTAGAACAGAACTAGAACAGAACAGAACTAGAACAGAACTAGAACAGAACTAGAACAGAACTAGAACAGAACTAGAACAGAACGAACTAGAACTAGAACAGAACTAGAACAGAACTAGAACAGAACAGAACAGAACTAGAACAGAACTAGAACAGAACTAGAACAGAACTAGAACTAGAACAGAACTAGAACAGAACTAGAACAGAACTAGAACAGAACTAGAACAGAACAGAACTAGAACAGAACTAGAACAGAACTAGAACAGAACTAGAACAGAACTAGAACAGAACTAGAACAGAACTAGAACAGAACTAGAACAGAACTAGAACAGAACTAGAACAGAACTAGAACAGAACTAGAACAGAACTAGAACAGAACTAGAACAGAACTAGAACAGAACTAGAACTGAACTAGAACAGAACTAGAACAGAACTAGAACTGAACTAGAACAGAACTAGAACAGAACTAGAACAGAACTAGAACAGAACTAGAACAGAACTAGAACAGAACTAGAACAGAACTAGAACAGAACTAGAACAGAACTAGAACAGAACTAGAACAGAACTAGAACAGAACTAGAACAGAACTAGAACAGAACTAGAACAGAACTAGAACAGAACTAGAACAGAACTAGAACAGAACTAGAACAGAACTAGAACAACTGAAACAGAACTAGAACAGAACTAGAACAGAAACTAGAAACAAACTAGAACAGAACTAGAACAGAACTAGAACAGAACTAGAACAGAACTAGAACAGAACTAGAACATAACTAGCACAGAACTAGAACAGAACTAGAACAGAACTAGAACAGAACTAGAACAGAACTAGAACAGAACTAGAACTAGAACAGAACTATAAAGAACTAGAACAGAACTAGAAACAGAACGAACTAGAACAGAACTATAACAGACTAACTAGAACAGAACTAGAACAACCAAAGAACTAGAACAGAACTAGAACAGACTAGAACAGAACTAGAACAGAACTAAGAACAGAACTAGAACAGAAACTAGAACAGAACTAGAACAGAACTAGAACAGAACTAGAACAGAACTAGAACAGAACTAGAACGAACTAGAACAGAACTAAACAGAACTAGAACAGAACTAGAACAGAACAGAACTGTACTAGAACTAAACTAGAACTGAATTAGAACTAAAATTGAACTAGGGCCCCCGAATTAGAATTCCCTCCAAATGATCCGAACTGACTTACCACTATTGATGTAAATGCCATATTGTTCCAAAAAGAAATTGACATTTGTATTAAACTCCTGCTCACCACCCTCACCCAACACTACTAGCAAAGAGCCACCATTTTCTATAAAGTTCTTCAAGACTTGAAACTCATCTTCGGTAAAATGATCCTGAGGACCAGCCAAAACAAAAATTTTCACTTTTGCTAATTCATCGAAATTTAAATCATGATCATTTCTAAGAAAGATAAGAATTCAATAGTTTAGTTATAAAGTTAGTTAAACAATTGAACATACTTACTGTTCGATATTCCATAAGGATTTCAATTTACGATGTAACATTTTGTAATTATCCGCAATTTGGAAACGTTCATTTTTGGAGCAATCAAAACATATAATAGGTTTTGAAGACATGTTTTTCTGTTTATTTATAAACCTGTTTTATTGTATTTGTTTTAATAATTATTGTTAATCGGCTGCAGAATATAAGTTTTAAGACAGTGACTAGTTATTTGGTGTATTTTTAATAAAAAGCATTTGTTTTTAGTTACAATTGCTAGGCAACCGCGTTCTTTTAAAATTAATTTAAGCTGGCAATGATTTCTTTGCTTTTGTGTTGGCAATGCTAAATTTATTTACAAATTTAACCCACAAGGTTGTTGACTTGGCTGTTTTTATTTGTCAATAGCAATAACACAGATTTGCTTTTATAGCGGCTTATATAGTGCTGCAATTTTCGTACTATGTTTAAAAAAACAACACTGTTTTGCCATATGTCATTAACACTACTCTTGATAAACAACCCTGTCCCGTTACTTCGCTGCCCGTCAAACGAACGAGTGATTTTTTCATCGCCGCCGTGTGTGGAAATTACGAAATTTTAGTTTTATTAAAAAAATTTTGAAAAAACCCACTACATAAATTATCAAAAAATGGCTTCAATTTGTGGACGCATGGCTTTCCGTGCCGCTGCACGTCAAAATGTCACATACACTCCAGTTCGCTTCTGCAAAAGTAAGTTCCAAAAATTTCTACTTTTAATCCAGAAAAATTCAGGTTAATTTTTCATCATACTCCACCTCAAGAAAGAAAAAAAACGAGGCTCTACTACATACAACATTTGACATTTCTTGACAAAGTGTTAGCAGGAAAATGTTACATAATTCATGAAAATATGGCTAAAAAGGAAAATCAAAGAAAATTTATGTTTTTTCTTTTAACATAAATGAAAAGTTCAATAATTTTTCTTGTCTTGTATGAAATCTGATTGGTTTTATGTAACACTTTGTGAAAAAGCAAAGACGGACAGACAATACTAGAAGCAGAAAAGAGAAAAAGATAATAAAGAAATATTTTTGTTTAAATAATTCTTATTAGATATTTGTGTTTTGCAATACTTTTGTTTAATTTCTAATTTTATTAAGAATTTTTTTAAATTTTTTGCTTAATTGCCAAAAGTTTTAATTTAACTTTCGCCTGCAATTTGCAGTTGTCTTTAATGTTTATGTAACCTTTGGTGTCATTTTGGTTTTTTTCGATTCTTTTATTCTTATGTTTTATCGCCTATACTAGTCTTGGGGCACTTGCTTGTAGACACCTTGCCCCTCTCATATGATGAATTACATCTTTTTTTGTTCTAGGGGTTAATGTCATTTAGCACCTTAGGTTTTTCAATAAATAAGTAAAAACAATTTGGTAATTGGGGAAGTTTTTGTAATGAATGAAAATAGTTTTGGATCAAAACTAACTGCGCAATAGTAGTTAGTTTCCAAAGTTTTTTGTTAACATTTGTCATGGGAACTTATTAATTCAATTGTTTAATAGTTATTTAATATTTGTTAGTACAATAAAATGAAAACTTGATCTTTGGCCCAGCCAAAAAATGTTATCAATTATTTTTAAAATATTAAAATTATAAATCTACTTAATAGTTATTTATGTAAAAAATAACTTAAAGTAGAGAAGTATTGTTATGACATCGAGACAGATAAAAACAAAACTTCCTTTTTTAAATCAACTGCAAAATAGGTATAACTACTTTTCCTTCGGATTTGGTTATAGATAGAAGTTTTTCTAGGAATCAACGGAAATGATGTTCTCTAATGTTTTAATTATATATTGCCCTTTCTTCTTTTATTATACTGATATTTTGTTACAAATAAGTCAAAATTATTGATCTATTGTTTAAATTTCCATAAAGTCTGTTAACTAAACGACTGTCAGCAGTCTTTTCTACCCCACCGCCTGTCCTATTTACTTGTTTTCCAGCTGCCCTATTGACTATACATTATGTATATATCGGCAATTCTTCTAGTTGCTACAAATAGTGAATTTTCTTAAAGTACTTGGTACTTTTTGTAAAAAAGTACTAGAACTGACCTAGAACTGTACTAGAACTGAAATAGAGCTGAACTAGAACTGAACCTAAAATTGACCTTGAACTAAACTAGATCTAAAGTTGAACTGAACTAGAACTGAACTAAAACTGAACTAGAGTCGAACTAGAACTGAACCAAAAACTAAACTAGATCTAAAGTTGAACTGAACTAAAAATGAACTAGAAATGAACTAGAACTGAACTAGAACTGATCTAGAACTGAAGTAGAACTGAACTAGAGCTGAACTAACAATGAACTTGAAATGAACTAGAACTGTACTAGAACAGAACTAGAACAGAACTAGAACAGAACTAGAACAGAACTAGAACAGAACTAGAACAGAACTAGAACAGAACTAGAACAGAACTAGAACAGAACTAGAACTGAACTAAAAATGAACTAGAAATGAACTAGAACTGAACTAGAACTGAACTAGAACTGAACTAGAACTGAACTAGAACTGAACTAGAACTGAACTAGAACTGAACTAGAACTGAACTAGAACTGAACTAGAGCTGAACTAAAAATGAACTAAAATGAACTAGAACTGAACTAGAACTGAACTAGAACTGAACTAGAACTGAACTAGAACTGAACTAGAACTGAACTAGAACTGAACTAGAACTGAACTAGAACTGAACTAGAACTGTACTAGAACTGAACTAGAACTGAACTAAAACTGAACTAGAACTGTAATAGAACTGAAATAGAACTGAACTACAATTGAACTAGAACTGAACTAGAACTGAACTAGAACTGAACTAGAACTGAACTTAAACTGAACTAAACTAGAACTGAACTATATTTGAACTAGAACTAACCTTGAACTGAACTAGAATAAAAGTATGTACATATAACTGAGCAAAAACTGAAGTAGAATTTTAGAACAACTCAAATAGAACTGAACTAGATGGGTGGACCTGAAGATGAACTTTTGATATTAAATTTATTTCCTACTTTCTATTTTTAGTGATGAACGACCCCATGGAACACGCTACCGGTATTGAGAAGCGTGAATTGTTGGCCAAAGCTGCCGGCAATGATAATCCCTTCGACATGAAAGTGTTCAAGCGTGGTGCTGGTACCAAGGAAAACCCCAACCTGATACCCTCTGCTTTCGATGCCCGTATTGTGGGTTGCATCTGTAAGTTCTTATACTTTTTGAGATTCTATATAACAAATTTTTATATATATAACTTGTAACTTTCAGGCGAAGAAGATCAAACCTACGTACAATGGATGTGGCTACAAAAGGGTACCGCCAAACGTTGTGAGTGCGGCCACTGGTTCAAATTGGTTGAAAAGGCTGCCGTTTAAATTTAGTTAAACACCTCCTGTACACACCATTTACAAATAAACTTAAAAAATGTCGTTCTGTTTTCAAAACTTAACATAAATTTAAAGAAATTTAAGTTAAAAGTAACCTTAAACAATAAACATAAACCAAAAAAAACCTAAAAGTATAAAGTGCATAAATTATTTTCTCGGAAAAAATCAAAGAAAAGAAATTACTTAAGTCATACCATCCATCACTTAAGTTAAAAACATAGGTTACTTTTTTCTTTAACTTGTTGTGGAAAAATCTATCAATTATTATATAAATGGCTTTGCAAGTGCCATAATTTTAAATGATAAAATACCAAACACTAAACTTAAATTCTATGAAAAAATAAACCAACACGCTTGTTATGTTTAAGCCCAAAACCAATAATAAAAGAAATATGTTAAATGAAAACACTACCATTAAAGAAAATCCATTGAACAACACTTGAATTTTAGTCTTCTTTTAGCAGAATGAAAACGAAAGGAATCTTAAATGTTGTAGTATTAAAACAGCAACAAAAACAAGTGTGTTTTATTAAATAAGTTTAAATTATAATTTGCTAATTAGCATAACTAATTTAAATAGTGAAATAAATAACAAAACTATTACAGAAACAAAAACGAAATAAGTTAAATTTTGGGAAAGGGTTTCTTTATAGAGTATATGGTTAGTTATATAGCGAAGCAAATGGAATAAACAGACTGTTTAGAGGACTTTTTTCGAAGAACTTTGTCTAGTGTATAAACGAGAAGTTCTTGTCTAGTCTTTTCTACTTCCGTTTTTTTCTATTCAGTTGTAGTTTTGTTCAGTTCTAATTGCAGTACAGTTATTCTTTAGTTCTAATTCTAGATCAGTTCCAGTTCAACTCTAGTTTAGTTCCCATTCAGTTCTAGTTCTGTGCAAGTTTAATTGCAGTTTAGTACTTGTTCATTACTCATCCATTTCAAGTTTAATCCTGGTTCATTTCAAGTTCAGATCTACATAGTTCCAGTTTAGGTCTGTTTCAGTATCCGTTTAGTTCTATATCAGTTCTATTTATGTAGATCTCCTTCATCATCATTTGTGCTCCTTTTTCTCAGTGTATTTATTTCATTTTCTTGAAAATCAAATTTTCTATGATTTTTCCAACAATTTTTAAAAAAAAATAACAAAAATATTCCATAATTTTCTTTTTTTAAGTTGATTTTTCATAAAATTTCAAATCATGTCCTTTATGTTACGCCGATTTCTTAATAGATCATTTTTACAACAAAGATTTTTTACCCAAACTCTTAAGCTAAAGCAAGGTAAGACAGATCTTTAAAAGCTTTCCACTTTTCTAAATGTTTTCTTTTTCAGAAATGTCCGATCCTTTGCAATTATGCACTGGCCTGCAGAAAAAGGAAATAGAAGCCTATATGGAGGGTAATTGTGATCCTTATCATATGAAGGTATTAAAAAGAGGCAGTGGTACTAAGGAAAATCCCACCTTAATACCTTCGGCCTTTAGTGGGCGTATAGTGGGTTGTATATGTAAGTGGGAACTATAAATAAATTCCATTTACAGATTTAGATGTTGCGTTTTTCTTTACATTATAGGTAAAGACAATCGTTTTGTGAATTATATGTGGCTGGAAAAAGATTGTCCAAAACGTTGTGAATGTGGTCATTGGTATAAATTGAAGGAAGTTGAGCGATTTTCTTGATTATTTTCTGATTTCTGTAACGAATACAATATTTTAAACTTACCCAAGTATTCTTACAGTATTTTTATAGAATTTCTTTAAAATCTTTTTTAATAAATTGTATATTTTCCGTTTTATTATTTCACCTTAACCTAAAGTCATACCCGTCAATAAATAACCACTATTTGCCTGCATATTTACCTCAGGATGTGTGCGATTGGGTAAAATTTGATACTGACGCAACCAATTCGAAGTCAAGTGCAAATTAGTAACTTTAGAGCTGGATTTTAAATCGACATACAATTCCATTAAAACCTCTTTACACAGACTAAAAACCACAACAGGTCTGGAGGGTTTAACGAAAGACAATAGTTCCTTAACCAAATTGGCGGGATGTTCTTTGGCCGCAATAACTAAAGAATCAAATTTCTGTTGCATTAGTGCCGCGGCACGTTTATTTTCCAATTGCCATTTTTGTAAGGCAGCGGCTGGTTTTAACGGCTTCTTCAGATTTAGAGGAATCAGCTGAAGTTTCCAAAGAATCTAAACAAAAACATATTAGAGATTAGGAATCCCTATTAAAGTGTTTAATCTTATACTACCTTTATCCTCTTCATTCAATTTTTGCTTTTTGGAACTAGGCTCTTCCACCTCCGCTGTCGTTTCATCACCTTGATAAAATTCTCTTAAAACCGAATAAATATTCACAGAAATACATCTTTGCAGTTGTTCTTCGGGTAAATTTAAAGCCAATATAGCCTGTTTTTGTGGCACATTACCCGGATGCATGTGAACCAATTGGGCTTCGGTATTCGCACCCATAGAATTCAAAAAAGCAGCTGGCAATAGACCATTTGAACCACTTTCATATAACAAATAATTACCAAAAGCCGAAATACCCGAATACGAGATTAACTGCGACAAAGTATCAACTCTTAGGCCCATTACTTTTTCGGCATCTTGACGATAGTATATCTCCGTTATTAAACGTATAGTAGGTTGTCTAATTTGTATATATTCAAAATATTTCTTTTCCTTTTTCTTCAAATACTTTTCCTGTGAATAAGCAGTTTTATTGTGAAATGTCTTTGAATTTTCAACAATTTTCTCTATAATCTTGGTACTTTCATTGCATTCATCTCTTAATTTGTCAATATCTTCTGGCTTTAGAGCCTGCGAATCGCCATCGTCTATTATATTACGATTGTCTTCACCACTCGATGAAATGCCCAATACTTCTCTTATATTACGCATTTCCAATTCATTGCACAATTCCAAAGAGTTTAACTTTTGACGTCCCCGATGAGACTTGCCCAAATCTTCTTTGGGGCACATTTTAAAGGTGGCACCATAAGGTTGATCGAGTAATGCCTTCAGCTCTAGCTGATCCTTGCCCAACATAGCGGTGGCATCTAAATTACCAAATTTTTGCAATTTGGTATATTTTTGTCGTTGTATGACTATATAGTCACCTAATTTTATTTTCGGTTGTTCAGCTAATGTTGTCATTGTGGATTTTAATGTTATTTTTTATGAAATTGTAAAAATATATATAAAAATCGGTTTAAATTAATACAAATTCACATTTGTAAACAAATAAAAAGAGAAATGTCAAAAACACGTGTAGATAAAGGAAAACAACTCTGTTATTTGACGCTAAACAGCTCTGTTTTTAAAAAGGCCGGCTATCAATTGCATTAAAACAAATAAATGCAGTTAAAATGTTCAAATGCAAATAGAATGTAAACGTAATAAATTAATTCAAAAAATAAATATGAAAAATTCTATAAATCTTCGAATAAGTTAATATTTTTGGTTATTTTTTATTAAACAGAGAAATGTTATGTTGAACATCTCTGTTTTCTTCTGTTATCAATGCGAAATGAATCTCTATGGTTAAAGAAGCAGCATATAAACGTAAACAAAGCTATTTTTACTAATTTCCGGGACAAAATTGCAAATTTTTGTATTTTTATTAAATATATTAAAGAAATATTAACACAAAATGGCTAAACATCATCCAGATTTGATTTTCTGTCGTAAACAACCGGGAGTAGGTAAGTTGTAACATATTTCTAAAGGAAAATTTGCAAAAAAAATAAATTTTATTCTCCAGCCATTGGCCGCTTGTGTGAGAAATGTGATGGCAAGTGTGTGATATGTGATTCGTATGTAAGACCCTGTACTTTGGTGCGTATCTGTGACGAATGCAATTATGGTTCTTATCAGGGACGATGTGTGATCTGTGGTGGACCCGGTGTTTCTGATGCTTATTATTGCAAAGAGTGTACCACACAGGAAAAAGATGTAAGTTGTTGAATATTAGGAAAAATTAAAAATAAACATTTTTATAATTTTTAGCGTGACGGCTGTCCGAAAATTGTTAATCTGGGCAGTTCTAAAACAGATCTGTTCTATGAACGGAAAAAATACGGGTTTAAGCAAAAGTAAGTTTAGATTTTTCTATTAAATTTCATAGATTTTTACTAATTTCTATTATTTTTCCATTTTAGCTATTAGCATTTACTTGTTCTATATCATATCTTACAATAAGGCTTCAAGAGTTATTAAGCATTTTGAAACGAATGGAAATTATTCAAAATTTGGAATTTTTGCTTTCAAATCGGGATTTAGAGTACTCTTTTTCATAATAAAAAAAATACTTGATTTACTTTGTAGTTTATTTTACATATTGAAATAATAAAGTAGTTATGGAATTATATGTTAGATACGGGTTTAAATTTAAAGCTAATTTAGGCGGTTCCCTCTAAAGAATACTGCAAGCATAGATTATCGAATTCCGACGACTTCTTATCAAAATCCTTAACAAATACACTTTTAGGATAAAATTGTCTCAATTGCTCCCAGTAACGTTGAATGGTCTCTTGAGATTTTCCAGTTAAATGCGACAAAACCATCATGTTGATCAAAGTGTCATAATCATTGTGTTTTTTAGTTAATGCTTCCCTCAAAACAGCTTCAGCCTCTTCATATCTTTCCAAACCCAAGTGGACCACAGCCTGGCCATTCAATAGCAAGGGGGTGGGCTTATATTTCTCACAAAATTCTTGATAAATATGGAAAGCATCCTGCATTTGTTCAGTGCCCAAAGATAAAGCCACCCAAGCTTGAGCCAACTGTGTCAATGTATGGTCATCCGAGATTTCTTGCATTTTGCCCACCAACTGTTTAGCCAAGTCAACACGATTTAAGCGCAATAAACATTGCACCGACAAAGCCATGGATTCCAAATTAGTAGAACCGTGCAAAATTTTTAAAGCATTTTCAAATTGTTGATCATAGCAGTAGACTATGGCGGTGGCTATATGCCAGATATTGGTTTCATCCTCCTCGATTGCTACCTTATCAGTAAGTTTCTCTAATATTTCCTCAATTTTCTCAGGCTGTTCAAATGCCTCATTGATATAGCGCAAAGCCAATAAGGGAGTGTTATTGTTTTCCTTAATATCACTGGCTATCAATCTACCAGAATCTATGGCCAAATAGGACAAATACATGTAAGACAATAATTCTGCTCCGGCCGTGCCCTGTTCGGGTAAAACAAAATTGACGGAACCCATAAAATTACCAATGTAATACTCATTGCGGGCATAGAACAAGGTAGAGTTGGTATCTTCTTCTTGGGGGATTTTACTCATGTTGAATGTGTTGATTTATAAGCTAAAATCAAGAGTAATTAATATTTGTTGTGATTTGTTAAACATTTTACAAAACAAACCTTATTTTGTATTAAATTTTTATAACTTTTGTTAAAAGTTCTTTATTATTTTTCTATCGATAATATATGACGTGTTAAAATGTCAACAATGTGTAAAGGGGTATGTTCAGTGTTTAACATCAAATGTCAGGGTATTAACAGAAAAACACAGACATGTTATTTTATAGTTTACATTAAGTATCAATAACAGAGTTGCTTAATGATTTACCGTTAGCGGGAAAAAAACAATGTTTACATTAAAATAAAGGAAAATTGTGGAAGTGAATTGCTCAAACCTGATAATAAATTGCAAATATTTAATTTAATAATTAACGTTTTAAGAAGATTTATGTAGCATTTAGAAGCGCTTTAATTGGCATTTCCAAAATTGTAAACAATTTATATATTATTAAACCGGTGATAACAAAAAATAACGATCTTTAAAAGATATGGTCATAAGCCAACCTTAGACTACGTGGAAGCAATTTTCATTCGATCGTGTGTTAAAAACAGTACAAGCATATAGATTTTTGAGTTAATAATGTAATTTGTGCAACAATTCTTCAAAAATTGTGATATCTTTAGGTAAGTGATGTCAGCTTTTAACTTACTGAGAAATCTAAAATTTTATTTACATTTTTATTAAAAAAGAAGAAAAAAATGTGACAGTGCAATATTTATTTTAACAAACATTTGTTAAAATTTTGTACATAAATCCAACTAAAATACCTACTCCTTTAAATACCTTGCAAACTTTCTCGTATATAACTACTTATAGATGATTTAGGATTAACACATTCCTCTATTATATCAAAATGATCATATGCCTTAAATTCCTTATACTCTGTATGCAGTTTTAATGCCCTTAACTTGTTATAATATTCTTGAGCTTGTTGCTTAAAGCGATCACTATCATTTTCCCCCACAAGAATGTGAATGCGCAGACCTTGCTTTTGATATTCCGCTAATAAATCCATATTGAACAACCAACAGAAAGGTGACAATTCCTTAGCCTTGTCAGCATTTACATTTAATATATCATTAGGATTAACACTTTTCAAACACCAAAGCTCTCGCAAATCATAAACTCCACTTATTAAAAATATTTGTTCTATAAGATTTAAACGTTTTAAAGGCTGTAAAAACTCCTCACGAAACATTTGTAATGACAAATGGGCACCAGCAGAATGGCCACTTATGCATATCTTAGGTGCTTTAGTTTCGACGGCATACTTTTGCAACCATTTGTAAAAATTACAAATTTGTTGGGTAATTTGTTCAAGTGTAACTTGGGGACATAGGTTATAGTCCACTAAGATGATGCGGTAATTGTGCTCAATCATTGGGAAAACCAGAGGACCGGAAGTAGATTTATCCAATAGTTGCCAATAGCCTCCATGAATATAAACAAATATGGGAGTGCCTGTTTGAAAGGAAAAATATATACATATTTGAAAAGTTAAAGTGGAAATAGTTAAATTCACCTTCTTCCTGGCCTTTGAAGTAAATATCCAATAACTGATTGTCGTTGTCTCCTCCATAACGTACATCCAAACGAGTTTTATATTGTTGCCGGGCTAATAAGGTGGCTGTTTAAGAGGAATTTATAGAGAGAATTTTATGTTTATGTTAAATGAAAATTAAAGATAGGTAGATAGATAGATAGATAGATAGATAGATAGATAGATAGATATATAGATAGATAGATAGATAGATAGATGATAGATAGATATATAGAGATAGATAGTCGCTCGTCGCTCGCTCGCTCGCTCGTCGCTCGCTCGCTCTCTCGCTCGCTCGCGCTAGCTAGATAGATAGATAGATAGATAGATAGATAGATAGATAGATAGATAGATAGATAGATAGATAGATAGATAGATAGATAGATAGATAGATAGATAGATAGATAGATAGATAGATAGATAGATAGATAGATAGATAGATAGATAGATAGATAGATAGATAGATAGATAGATAGATAGATAGATAGATAGATAGATAGATAGATAGATAGATAGATAGATAGATAGATAGATAGATAGATAGATAGATAGATAGATAGATAGATAGATAGATAGATAGATAGATAGATAGATAGATAGATAGATAGATAGATAGATAGATAGATAGATAGATAGATAGATAGATAGATAGATAGATAGATAGATAGATATAGATAGATAGATAGATAGATAGATAGATAGATAGATAGATAGATAGATAGATAGATAGATAGATAGATAGTAGATAGATAGATAGATAGATAGATAGATAGATAGATAGATAGATAGATAGATAGATAGATAGATAGATAGATAGATAGATAGATAGATAGATAGATAGATAGATAGATAGATAGATAGATAGATAGATAGATAGATAGATAGATAGATAGATAGATAGATAGATAGATAGATAGATAGATAGATAGATAGATAGATAGATAGATAGATAGATAGATAGATAGATAGATAGATAGATAGATAGATAGATAGATAGATAGATAGATAGATAGATAGATAGATAGATAGATAGATAGATAGATAGATAGATAGATAGATAGATAGATAGATAGATAGATAGATAGATAGATAGATAGATAGAAGTAGATAGATAGATAGATAGATAGATAGATAGATAGATAGATAGATAGATAGATAGATAGATAGATAGATAGATAGATAGATAGATAGATAGATAGATAGATAGATAGATAGATAGATAGATAGTAGATAGATAGATAGATAGATAGATAGATAGATAGATAGATAGATAGATAGATAGATAGTAGATAGGTAGGTAGATAGATAGATAGATAAATAGATAGATAGATAGATAGATAGATAGATAGATAGATAGATAGATAGATAGATAGATAGATAGATAGATAGATAGATAGATAGATAGATAGATAGATAGATAGATAGATAGATAGATAGATAGATAGATAGATAGATAGATAGATAGATAGATAGATAGATAGATAGATAGATAGATAGATAGATAGATAGAGAGATAGATAGATAGATAGATAGATAGATAGATAGATAGGTAGGTAGGTAGGTAGATAGATAAATAGATAGATAGATAGATAGATAGATAGATAGATAGATAGATAGATAGATAGATAGATAGATAGATAGATAGATAGATAGATAGATAGATAGATAGATAGATAGATAGATAGATAGATAGATAGATAGATAGATAGATAGATAGATAGATAGATAGATAGATAGATAGATAGATAGATAGATAGATAGATAGATAGATAGATAGATAGATAGATAGATAGATAGATAGATAGATAGATAGATAGATAGATAGATAGATAGATAGATAGATAGATAGATAGATAGATAGATAGATAGATAGATAGATAGATAGATAGATAGATAGATAGATAGATAGATAGATAGATTTTCTAAAGCAGTTGCTTTTTAAGTATTTGCTAAATCTTTTTGTAAACAAATCAAAATGAATTAATTTAACCATCTGTCACACAAAGTTTCAAAGCTCTAGCATTATGTTAAAAAAACTAGACTTTCACTGATAAACTCTTTGGCCTTTGGTCTCAAAATTATTTCACGTTTTTATTTAATATCAATTAATGTAAATAAAAAGCCGCGAAAATTCGGAAAATGAAAAACTATTTTGTAGTAGTTTTTAGTTTTTTTTAGTAGATCATGAATTATTTTCATTCACATAAAGTGTATATCATCACAACTAAAACAGTTTACAAATTTTATTTCACTTTTTAATTTGGCAAACATATGTTTGTCTCTATAAATAGTTATCACTTTTCATTATCATTTACAAATATATTACCCTTTTCCGATACATTTATAAAATTATTTATAACTTCTTCATCTGGTTTAGCGAAATTTTGAAATCGTTTAGTATGTAATGTTGGGGAATATTCTCTATCTAAATCTAAATTCATATTCAAACAATATTCTTTAACAAAAGCCAAGAAACTTGAAATAAGAGATTAACACAAACATGTAGCTCTAATCTTGTTGGAGGCTGATAAAAAACTAAATGCTACTGTAATGTTCAAAGTATTTTAAGCATCAAAAGAAACCCAACAAGTTTATGTAAACGTAATAGGGAACGACTGAAGTGTGTGCTACCTCAAAATGTGGATGATTAAGCTCATCTAAAATAAAAAGTATAAACATTTTTAAAATTTGAAAAATCATTTATCAGTAATTAATAAATAATTAAAAATATCTTATTATTCTAGTGTTTAGCAAACTTTGAACTAATAATAATAATTAGCCCTTGAAATCTTAGAGTTTTGATAATGGAGCTATTATCTATTTGTAGTACACTATAAAGGGCTGATGACCTTTTCATTATAAAGTGTATCTACAATGAACCTATAAGTCTTTCATTCCGTTTGTAACAAAATCATTTTGCTACCCCATAAAATAATCTTATTGATTGCGAAGTCCAGTGAGCTATGTTCGTCTGTACTTATGCTAGTTTAAATATAATTTCGGAAGGTTGTATAACATCGGGACACAGGGTAACAGAGCCTCACGAGCACAAAATTTTTTTAAACTGTAGTTTATATCTTCACGTACAAGTTTCACAAAGCTAGACAACATCTGATTTTCGAATTTTTTAAATGTCAAATGGACATCGTTGTGTTCGTTTGTGTTCGGGATCCAAATCTTTAATAATTCATGTTTTTGAAAAGTTTAATTTATTTATCTATCTATCCATCTATCTATCTATCTATCTATCTATCTATCTATCTATCTATCTATCTATCTATCTATCTCTATCTATCTATCTATCTATCTATCTATCTATCTATCTATCTATCTATTTACCTATCTATCTATCTATCTATCTATCTATCTATCTATCTATCTATCTATCTATCTATATCTATCTATCTATCTATCTATCTATCTATCATCTATCTATCTATCTATCTATCTATCTATATCTATCTATCTATCTCATCTATCTATCTATATATCTATCTATCTATCTATCTATCTATCTATCTATCTATTTATCTATCTATCTATCTATCTATCTATCTATCTATCTATCTATATATATCTATCTATCTATCTATCTATCTATCTATCTATCTATCTATCTATCCATCATCTATCTATCTATCTATCTATCTATCTATCTATCTATCTATCTATCTATCTATCTATCTATCTATCTATCTATCTATCTATCTATCTATCTATCTATCTACCTATCTATCTATCTATCTATCTATCTATCTATCTATCTATCATCTATCTATCTATCTATCTATCTCTCTATCTCTCTATCTCTCTATCTCTATCTATCTATCTATCTCTATCTATCTATCTATCTATCTATCTATCTATCTATCTATCTATCTATCTATCTATCTATCTATATATCTATCTACTATATCTATCTATCTATCTATCTATCTATCTATCTATCTATCTATCTATCTATCTATCTATCTATCTATCTATCTATCTATATATCTATCTATCTATCTATCTATCTATCTATCTATCTATCTATCTATCTATCTATCTATCTATCTATCTATCTATCTATCTATCTATCTATCTATCTAGCTCTCAACCCAAATTAACATTTTCACCAAAAATTCAAAATTTCACCAAAACAATAAATTTTCACCAAAAAAATAGAATGTCACATAAAAATTTTAACTTTTACTAAAAATTTAAAAAAAATATCAAAATTTCACCAAAAATTGAAATTTTCACAAAAAATGCAAAATTTTACTAAAAATTCAAATTTTCACTAAAAATCCGAAATTTTACTAAATTCAAATTCTCCAAAAAAAAAAAATGTTAAAATTCAAAATTTCTTTAAAAATACTAAATTTCACTAAAAATTAAAATTTTCACTTAAAATGCAAATTTTCACAAAAAATCCAAAATTTCACAAAAAATCCAAAATTTTACTAATAATGCAAATTTTCACTAAATTCAAATTCTCAGAAAAAAGTTAACTTGACTTAATGTTAAAATTCTAAATTTTACTAAAATTAATTTTTTTATTAAAAATTCAAATTTTCTCTACAAATTTAAATTCTCACTAAAAGGTAATGTTGACTAAATGTTAAATGTTTACTAAAAATTAAAATTTTCACTAAAAATTACTTTTTTTTTTTCATTAAAAATTACAATTTTCTTTTAAGATTAAAAAATTTTAAATTTTTATTAAAAATTTAAATTTTCCCAAAAAGTTAAATTTTTTACTAAAAATTCTAATTTTGTGATAAAAAAAAGAAATTTTAACTTAAAGTTAAGAAGTGCTATCAATAATGAATCTGTCAATTTAAATAAAACTACAATTTGTTTAAAGTTTGACATTAATTGAAATGTTTAAAAAATATAAATTTTATTTATATTAATTTTTTTAAGGTTTTTGACTTAAGAGTTTTGTTTTTTTCACTGTTCCGTTACATATTTTTAATAAAATTTTATTTTTATACACAAAATTATATAAAATATTAATAATTAATACACAAATGACTTAAAATTTAAACGACCTTTGTAGAGAGTGTAATGTATATATTTTTTTCATTATATAAATTTTTGTTTTTTTTTTATATTTATAATATTTTTGTTATTTACACTGTATTACAAAAAAATGAAAAATACTAATTGCTTATTTAAGTCATAGGGTTAAGGGGGACGTAAGGTTAGAAATGTGTTTTTTCTTTTCGTTTTAAAATTCTCTTAATAGTAATTATTGATTAATTAGGAATTATTTTTTTATTATTATTATTATGTATATACAGCTTACAAAGCTTTAGCTTAAATTTAAAAATATTACTTGAAAGTAATAATTAAATTAAGTTTAAAGAAAAAGAAAACAAATATAAATTATTAAAACATTATTTTTTTTTTAATTCTTTTTTTTTTAATCAACATAAAATAATTAACAAAATACAAATTTAATAAATCTGGTATACAGTATAAGAGTGATGTTGGTTATATTTTAACAAAAAAGGGGTTTCGCAGTTGAAAACTATTGGAAATAATGGTTTTTTTATATAAATTTTCGAATTTGAACATTTTTTTAAATCATATTTTTTCAATTTTCCTCATGATTAAGAAATTTTTGTAATAATGAATAAATAAAATAAACAATTTATTGTTTAAGATTCAAAATTTTCAATAATATGTAAATATTACACAAAATTTCGAATACGAAAATTAACATGTAAAGAAATAATTATATAAAAATTAATAAATCAACAAGAAAATAACAATAATTTTGTAAAAAAAGCTTAATTTTGCAATAATTTTTCATTTGTTTCATAAAAGAAATTCTTTAAAAATTTTCAAATTTTCAAATAAATTTTAGCAAAAAGTAAAAAAAAAAATATATTTTCTTTAAATTTTTCTAAATTCAATTTTTGTCTTAGTTAAGGTCTTGCAAACTATTGCATTTCCATCACAATTGTTTTGTAACAAAAGTTTAATACAAAAAGTATGTTTGCAATACCAAAAATGAAAGTTTTGAAATTATTTAGCTTTTATTGAGGTCTTGCAAACTGTTGCATTTTAGATAGAACTATTTTCCAAGATAAGTTCAATCATAAAAGTATATTTGCAATCAAAGAAAACAAAATTTAGTCTTGCAAATTGTATTTTTTTACTACGATTGTTTATTTTGCTGTCATTGAGGTCTTGCAAACTGTTGCAATTTTGCTAGAATTAATTTCCAACATAAGTTCAATCATAAAAGTATATTTGCAATCAAAGAAAACAAAATTTAGTCTTGCAAATTGCTTTTTTTTTAATACAATTAGTTATTTTGCTGTCATTGAGGTCTTGCAAACTGTTGCAATTTTACTAGAATTATTTTCCAAGATAAGTTCAATCAAAAAAGTATATTTGCAATCAAAGAAAACAAAATTTAGTCTTGCAAATTGCATTTTTTACTACAATTATTTATTTTGCTTTTATTGAGGTCTTGCAAACTGTTGCAATTTTACTAGAATTATTTTCCAACATAAGTTCAATCATAAAAGTATATTTGCAACACCAAAATATGAAAGTTTTCCCCTTTTTAATGTTATTGAGGTCTTGTAAACTGTTTCCATTTTGTTAGAATTATTTTTCAATATAATTCCACCCAAAAAAGTATATCTACAACCCAAGAAAACAACATTTAGTCTTGCAAATTGCATTAACTGTAGTACATTACAGCTTCCCGTTGTAATCGTTAAATACTGCAGCTCTTTTGCCACGTTTGAAAAGGTAGTTTGCCTTTTACTCTTACAAGTTTAAGTTAAGTAAATCACAACTTATTAAGGTCTTGCAAACTATGACATTTTTTGCTAAAACAATTTTCCAAGAGAAATTTACTTGAAGTAATGTATTTGCAATGCCAAATACAAGATTGTCTTGCAAACTGCGACATTTTAGCTAGAATTGTTTTCGAAGAAAATCTTACTTGAAATAATGTATTTGCAACACCAAATACAAGATTTTTAGTCTTGCAAACTGTGGAATTATTGCTAGAAGTGTTTTCAAAGTGAATATTACTTGAAGTGCTATATTTGCAACACCATAATCGTATGATTTTTAGTCTTGCAAATTTCATTCATTGCTGTAAATCACATCTCCGTTAATTTTTTAGTCTTGCAAACTATGACAAGGTTCCTAGAAATATTTTGCAAGTGAAATTTAATTGAAATCGTACATTTGCAACACCAAATGCAAGATTTTTAGTCTTACAAACTGTAGAATTATTGCTAGAAATGTTTTCAAAGTGAATATTACTTGAAGTACTATATTTGCAACACCATAATCGTATAGTTTTTAGTCTTGCAAATTTCATAATTGCTGTAAATCACATCTCGGATAATTTTTAGTCTTGCAAACTATGGCAATGTTCCTACTAATATTTTGCAAGTGAAGTTTAATTGAAAGCGTACATTTGCAACACCAAATGCAAATTTTTATACTTGCAAACTGTAGAATTATTGCTAGAAGTGTTTTCAAAGTGAATATTACTTGAAGTACTATATTTGCAGCACCATAATCGTATAATTTTAAGACTTGCAAACTATGGCAATGTTGCTGGAAATTTTTACCAAGTGAAGTTTAGTTGAAAGTGTATATTTGCAACACCATATTCATTATTTTTAGTCTTGCAAACTGTGTTATTTTTGCTAGAATTGTGTTTTAAGTGAAATTTATTTGAAATAATGCATTTGCAACACCAAATAGAAGATTTTTAGTCTTGCAAACTGTAAAATTTTTGCTAGAATTGTTTTCCAAGCATTATTTACATGAAATAATGCATTTGCAATACCTAATACAAGATTTTTAGTCTTGCAAACTGTGGCATTTTTGCTAGAATTGTTTTTCAAGCATAGTTTACTTGAAATAATGTATTTACAACACTAAATACAAGATTTTCAGTCATGCAAACTATGAAATTTTTTCTAGAATTGTTTTCCAATCATAGTTTACTTGAAATAATGTATTTACAACATTAAATACAAGGTTTTCAGTCTTGCAAACTGTGAAATTTTCGATTGAATTGTTGTCCAAGCACTATTTAGTTGAAATAATGCATTTGCAACATCATATATAAGATTTTTAGTCTTGCAAACTGTTGCATATTAGCTAGAATTATTTTTTAAGTGAAATTTACTGCAAATGAAGTGACAGAAGATTTTTGAAAAAATCAACGAAATTTCTGTTTAAAAAACCAAACAAAATTTAATAGTTTTCCTAGCACAAACCCCCTAAAATATACCACACACACATACATACACACACACCGTTCAACAAACAAAACCACAACCGAAAATAGTTGAAATTGGCAAAAAAAAAAAAAAAATTTACAAAACAGAAATGAAAATTTCAAATTTTTAAAAAATCCAAAATAAATTATTTCAACATTTTATCATCAACATCATTATCATCGTTTGTGCATAGTTAAATCCAATAAACACTATGATTCCTCATCGGATATAACAATTTCCTCTAACGATTTATTTGCCGATATTGTAGAAGTTAAATCTGTACATAAATTACTACCAACCTCAATATTACTGCCACCAGTTGTAGTAGTTGTAATATTATTTGTATCGGGTTCTAGACTAGAGACATGAACAATTTTTAAATCTGCCGTTGTAGTGGTGGTCGTAAGAGTGGCGGTAGCTGTATCCAAATTAATGCTGGCATTATTATTATTGTTGTTATTGAGCAGATGGGGTGTAGGTGTTTCCCTAAGTTTACCATTTCTTATGGGCATTATAGAGGCAGGAGTAGGAGGAGCTTTAGGTGATGTTAGTGGAGATGTTTCTTTACTTGCGTTAGTAGTAATGACAGTCTTTGTATTTGCTGCTGCCAACAACTCATTATTATTGTTATTTAATAACAAATTATCTCTGGCAGAGTTGTTGTTTTCATTCGCATTTAACTTATCCATACAATTTTCCATTGTATTATCTAATTGCAAAATATCTTGTGAATTATCAGGTATTTCTATACATTCTGTTGATAATGATTTATCATCAGATTTTTCCAAAATTTCTATACTATCATTAACACTAACCAGACTTTCATTGAGTTTTTTAGAATCTTTTGAGACATTTTCTTTGTTTTTATTATTTACGTTTTCCATTTCGTTGTCTGATTCATTATCACTGACATCACCATTAGCTAAAGTTTCTACTTGTTCATCTAGATTATCTTCATCATCTTCCTCCTCCTCATCGTCGTCTTCTTCTTCATCATCCTCTTCCTCCTCCCCTTCTTCATTAACCAGCATTTTAACTAGTCCAACAGTTTCCGTTTCTTTTTTACATTCCTCAGACTTTAGTAAAACTTGTTTCTCTTCCTCTCCTTGTTTTTTATCCTCCTTATTTAAGCTTTCATTAGCATTTGTATTTACTTCCGCCGTTTCAGTTTCCATTTTAACTTCTGCTTTAGCCGACTCCTCTACTTTAGTATCTTCTGCTGTTTCAGCCTTTTCTTCTTCCTCCTCGACTTCGGGCATATCTTGTTTGCGTGCAAACTTCTCTAAGATATCATTGATTTTCTTGTGATTTTTAAGATTTTCATTTAATTTTGCCGCCAAAGTCGGATCAGTTTTGGCTGGATCTGCACCATCACCCGCATAGTGAGTGACAGTTTCGTAGAGATCGGCTTTACGTCGTGATTGCAATAGTTTGCCTACTTTAATGAACGCATCTTCAGCTGTGAGAAGTAATTTAGAAAAACACAAGAAGGATATAAATACTTAGATAAATTAGAAAGGATTAAGATTTTTCTTTATTATAGCCTACACCAGGGTGTTATGAGTTTTCAAACTAATGAGCTAGAACTTAACTAGAAATGAAATAGAACTGAATAAGAACTTAACTAGAACTGTACTAGAACTTAACTAAAACTGAACTAGAACTGAACTAGAACTGAACTAGAACTGAACTAGAACTGAACTAGAACTGAACTAGAACTGAACTAGAACTGAACTAGAACTGAACTAGAACTGAACTAGAACTGAACTAGAACTGAATTAGAACTGAACTAGAACTGAAATAAAACTGAACTAGAACTGAAGTAGAACTGAAGTAGAACTGAAATAGAACTGACCTATAATTGAAGTAGAACTGAACTAGAACTGAATTAGAACTGAACTAGAACTGAACTAGAACTGAACTAGAACTGAATTAGAACTGAACTAGAACTGAACTAGAACTGAACTAGAACTGAACTAGAACTGAACTAGAACTGAACTAGAACTGAACTAGAACTGAACTAGAACTGAACTAGAACTGAACTAGAACTGAACTAGAACTGAACTAGAACTGAACTAGAACTGAACTAGAACTGAACTAGAACTGAACTAGAACTGAACTAGAACTGAACTAGAACTGAACTAGAACTGAACTAGAACTGAACTAGAACTGAAATAGAACTGAACTAGAACTGAACTAGAACTGAACTGGAAATGAACTGGAAATGAACTGGAAATGAAATAGAACTAGAACTAAAGTAGAACTAAAGTAGAACTGAACTAGAACTGACCTATAATTGAACTAGAACTGAACTAGAACTGAACTAGAAATGAACTAGAACTGAACTAGAACTGAACTAGAACTGAACTAGAACTGAACTAGAACTGAACTAGAACTGAACTAGAACTGAACTAGAACTGAACTAGAACTGAACTAGAACTGAACTAGAACTGAACTAGAACTGAACTAGAACTGAACTAGAACTGAACTAGAACTGAACTAGAACTGAACTAGAACTGAAATAGAACTGAACTAGAATTGAACTGGAACTGAACTAGAACTGAAATAGAACTAGAACTGAACTAAAACTGAACTAGAACTGAACTAGAACTGAACTAGAACTGAACTAGAACTGAACTAGAAATATATCTAGAACTGAACTAGAACTGAACCAGAACTGAACTAGAAATGAACTAGAAATGAACTAGAAATGAACTAGAACTGAACTAGAACTGAACTAGAACTGAATTAGAACTGAACTAGAACTGAACTAGAACTGAACTAGAACTGAACTAGAACTGAACTAGATCTGAATTAGAACTGAACTAGAACTGAACTAGAACTGAACTAGAACTGAACTAGAATTGAACTAGAACTGAACTACAACTGAACTTGAACTTAAATAGAACTAGAACTGAAATAGAACAGACCTATAATTGAAGTAGAACTGAACTAGAACTAAATTAGAACTAAACTAGAACTGAACTAGAACTGAACCAGAACTGAACTAGAACTGAACTAGAACTGAACTAGAACTGAACTAGAACTGAACTAGAACTGAACTAGAACTGAACTAGAACTGAACTAGAATTGAACTAGAACTGAACTACAACTGAACTTGAACTTAAATAGAACTAGAACTGAAATAGAACAGACCTATAATTGAAGTAGAACTGAACTAGAACTAAATTAGAACTAAACTAGAACTGAACTAGAACTGAACCAGAACTGAACTAGAACTGAACTAGAACTGAACTAGAACTGAACTAGAACTGAACTAGAACTGAACTAGAACTGAACTAGAACTGAACTAGAACTGAACTAGAATTGAACTAGAACTGAACTACAACTGAACTTGAACTTAAATAGAACTAGAACTGAAATAGAACAGACCTATAATTGAAGTAGAACTGAACTAGAACTAAATTAGAACTAAACTAGAACTAAACTAGAACTGAACTAGAACTGAACCAGAACTGAACTAGAACTGAACTAGAACTGAACTAGAACTGAACTAGAACTGAACTAGAACTGAACTAGAACTGAACTAGAACTGAACTAGAACTGAAATAAAACTGAAATAGAACTAGAACTGAAGTAGAACTGAAATAGAACTGACCTATAATTGAAGTAGAACTGAACTAGAACTGAATTAGAACTGAAATAAAACTGAACTAGAACTGAAATAGAATTGAAATAGAACTGAAATAGAATTGAAATAGAACTGAAATAGAATTGAAATAGAACTGACCTATAATTGAACTGGATCTGAAGTAGAACTGAATTTTAACTGAAGTAGAACTGAATTAAAACTGTACTAGAACTGAACTAGAACTGAACTAGAACTGAAATAGAACTGACCTATAATTGAAGTAGAACTGAACTAGAACTGAATTAGAACTGAACTAGAACTGAAATAAAACTGAACTAGAACTGAACTAGAACTGAAATAGAATTGAAATAGAACTGAAATAGAATTGAAATAGAACTGAAATAGAATTGAAATAGAACTGACCTATAATTGAACTGGATCTGAAGTAGAACTGAATTTTAACTGAAGTAGAACTGAATTAAAACTGTACTAGAACTGAACTAGAACTGAACTAGAACTGAACTAGAACCTAACTAGAACTGAACTGAACTAGAACTGAACTAGAACTGAATTAGAATTGAACTAGAACTGAACTAAAAATATAACTAGAACTGAACTAGAACTGAATTAGAGCTGAATTAGAATTGAACTAGAACTGAACCACCAATCAGAACTAAACTAAAACTGACTTAGTTCTTCTCTTGAAACTCCGGTGTAGAATATCTAATGGTCGACCATAGTCGACTATAATTTCATTATTGACTTTTTTTCTTCAATATCACCTCACCTATATTTTTCATTTCAAAGTTAACTAAACCCAAACTATAGGTACGATTACAATGTTCCAGCATACGCAATACATCATAATAATCCGGAAATTCCTTTGTGCGATTGATAAACGCCTGTAGAGTCTTATTAAACTGTGGTATACGTGTTTCATTGAATTTTATAGGTTTCTTAACTAAACGATGGGCATTTTTACTTTCGCCCGTAAGATCACAAATCTTCTCATAGATCTAGAAAAAGAAAAAAATAAATGAGATGGGAATTAAATGTAAGGTTAAGAGTTAATTTACCTGGCAAGCTCTTTTCTTAAAACGTTCTACTTGTAGAAAGCTGGAATCATCATCATCCCAATCAACTTCAGCCTGTTCTAAAACCTCAATACGTTTGGTTAAAACATAAAGGGCTTTATTCAATTTTTTAATTTGTTCATCTAATTTTTTATTGCCGGTCGATGTGGTGGCAGTGGCTGAAATCTCGACCGCTGTAGAGGATGTATTGGAGGTTGAGGAGCTGGCAGGAACATTCGCGTCACTAATAGTCGTTGTAGTTTTTTCAACATTTTCTGCTGTTGCTGAGGGACTTACTGCATTAGTATTATTATTATTATTGTTAGCTGCTGTGTTAGATGATTCGGCTGAGGCTGCTGCCGCTGATGCTTCCTCCACCACTCTGGCCTTACGTCGCACCTTTAACTCTTCCACAATTGTTTTAAGATTATAGTAAACCAAATCCGGTTTAGCTTTTATGCTTTCCACAACCTTGCGTATACTTTTACGAAAACTTTTCGATTTAACAAAATCACCGTGTACTTCATAGTAGTATTTTAACAATTTCGTTTTGATTAACTTTTCCATATCTTTGGAGGGATCAGCCTCACGGCAAGCCTTTATAAGTTCTTCATATTCCGGTTCTAGCGGAGGTTTTGGTGGTGGTGGCGGCGGTTTATCGGGTTTTTTATCTGGTTTTGCCTTATTAGCTTCTCCATTGATTTGCTGTTTTTGTTGTTCGGGTGTATTAACCAAATCGACAATTTCTAAAGGTTTGTTACTTTTAACTTTGTCCGGTGAATGGGTCAAATCCAAAACAGTGTCACAATCATTGCCAGCATTATGATCGGTGGGTGTTGTCAGCATAATGACATCGGGTGATTTTTGAGATTTTGGTGTTGTAGGCGAAGTCATGGGTGTGTGATGCCGGGACGAGGAGGCTGATATAGATTTGGGTGATTCTGTGGTGGCAGGTGGCAACATTTCAATGACCACATCATTTGTGAGTGAAATGGGTGTTCTTTGTGTTAGTTGTTTATCGTTCTGTTTGTGTCTTTGCCAACTTTCATCTGTGGACTTTAGTAGAGTAGTGGGCTTAATTCTACGTGACGTTTTATCCATACGCCCCGGCTGCGGTGAAGGTGTTAGTTGGGGCGAAGGTGTTTTGGGTGCAGCGGCAGGTGAGGGCGAAGCGACAGGTGATGGCGTAGTAGTGCTACTGGGTTTATTGAAGGGTAAATGTATTTTAAAATTATTGTTAATATTATTCTGATTAGGATTTGGATGAGCGGTGATGGTGGTATTGGGCGGTAAGCCTGTGGGTATTAAATGGGGATTTATCATTAGCTGTTCATTTAAACCCATAAAGGCTCCCAAATTATGAGGCGGTGTGGCCATTAGTTGTAAGGGTGGTGTGGCTCCCGCGGCAGCCATTGAATGTACTCCTGTTATCATGGGCATTATGGGCGGTAAAGGAGCAAGTGTGGTGGCTGCCTTAGCTGGCGATTGGTTTGCTAATGCTGCATAATTTTTAGCACTCAAACGTTGCATAGTTTGTGGTGGTGTGGGAGTTTTTCTTTTCCTTTGATTCCCACCCAATGCAGCTATACCCTTGTTGGTTGGTGGTGTTGGTGTTTGGCGTTCATCATTGATAATGCTATTTAAAGCAAGAAATGATGCTGCCAATGATGTGGTATTTAAAGATTGCATATTTACACCTTTACCGCCAGGCTGTGATGTCGTCGGACTAAGACGTGGTGGGAGGGGAGGCCACGGGGAGAGAGAGGGGGAGCAGGGGGGGGGGGGAGGACGGAAGAAGGGGGGACAGAAGAGCGGGGCCCGTAGGGGGGTTGACGGGACAGGGACGGGGGGGAGGACGCGGAAAGGGGGGAGAAAAAGGAAAAGGAGGGAAAAGGAAAGACAAAAAGCGGGAAAAGAGGACGAGAGCGAGCGAGAGCGAGCGAGCGAGCGAGCGAGAGAGCGAGCGAGCGCGAGCGAGCGAGCGAGCGAGCGACGAGAGCGAGCGAGCGAGCGAGCGAGCGAGCGAGCTAGCGAGCGAGCGAGCGAGCGAGGCGAGAGAGCGAGCGAGGCGAGCGAGCGAGGCGAGAGCGAGGCGAGCGAGCGAGCGAGGCGAGCGAGCGAGCGAGCGAGCGAGCGAGCGAGAGAGCGAGCGAGCGAGCGAGAGAGCGAGCGAGCGAGCGAGCGAGCGAGCGAGCGAGCGAGCGAGCGAGCGAGGAGGAGCGAGCGAGCGAGCGAGCGACGAAGGAGAGCGAGCGAGCGAGCGAGCGAGCGAGCGATCGAGCGATCGAGCGAGCGAGCGAGCAGCGAGCGAGCGAGCGACGAGCGAGCGAGCTAGCGAGCGAGCGAGCGAGCGAGCTAGCGAGCGAGCTAGCGATCGAGCTAGCTATGGAGAGCGAGCGAGCGAGCGAGCGATCAGATCTATCGATCTATCTATCTATCGATCTATTATCTATCTATACTATCTATCTATCTATCTGTCTGTCTGCATCTAGCGATCTATCTAGCGAGCGAGCAGGCGAAGCGAGCGAGCGAGGAGAGCGAGCGAGCGAGCCAGCGGCCAGAGCGAGGAGCGAGAGAGCGAGCGAGCTAGCGAGCGAGCGAGCGAGCATCAGCGCGAGCGAGCGAGCATTATCTAGCTATCCTATCTATCTCTATCTATCTATCTATCTACTATCTATCTATCTATCTATCTATCTATCTATCGATCTAGCTATCTATCTATCTATCTATCTATCTATCTATCTATCTATCTATATCTATCTATCTATCTATCTATCTATCTATCTACGATCTATCTATCTTATGATAAATTCTCTGAAACTTTGCTAAACTCTTTTAAGGTTAATGCTTGGTTCGACAACTTAATCGCCACCGTGTCCTTTACACTTCACCGGATCAAATAGTTGATGATAGAAACATTGCTAATTTTTTTCACTTTTTGTATTCCTATAACCACTGTGCCTTGTTAAGATTAAAAAATAGCGCCAATTTAAAAGTTTTAATAGAAATGTTTTCATTCATTGTGTACGAATGTAAACGTTTTAAATATTTTCCCACATTTTTTTTTTATCAATTATATCAATTGCATTTCATTCCCTTTTCCACTCTTCACACTTTACATTTACTATGTTTTACATAAACAAAAAATTAACTCTAATAAGACAACCTGTTAATAATATGTAAAGAAAATGTCTCGTTTAACATTTCCGCTATCAAAAACCAAAATGTTATAATGTTAATTGTCAAGCAAAAAGAAAATAAAATAAAACGCGGGAATTCATAAAATAACAGAGCACTGTTAATTAAGTGGAGAGTTTCTATAGTCTCCTCAGCACAGCAAAATAACAATGTACTACTATACAACTTGGTCTAGATACAACCTAACCGATGTCTATTAAAACTAATTGCGTGTTATTCAATCACAATTTTTTGGTGTAAACTGTACAACAAACTCAAAAGAGTAATTAACAACAATATATAAAAGGCAAATACTGCAAAAAAGACGAAAAAAAAGCCCCCCCCCCCTTTTGCATGTGTGTGTTAGATATATGTATAGAAATGCATAGCGCACACATCCATGGCGACAAACACTAAGAAAACAAGATTTTTACATGTTTTGTTTTTATTTAATTTTTGGTTTTTTGGAGACTTCTATACAACAACAAAAACCATTTGCCATTAAGAAAAAGAGCGCACAAACAATAAGAAGAGAGTAAGAGCGTCAGTTATTAGTGATGTGGAAATTTTAGCTTTTTTTCTGTTTTGCAGACTAGATAAAGTAATCGTGTAAATTTTTTTTATAAAATTGTTTTTATATATAGAAAATCTTATTAATTAAATAATTTGTTTTTAATTTTATTTAGTTAATATATTATTGTTTATGTTTACTTCAAAATTTGTTTTGTTTTCATTTCCTTTTGCTGGTTATTTCACAACATATCAACACTTGTGTTTACATTCAATCTTTTTTTTCATAATTTACACATCACTAAAGCTGTCAATTACTCTCCACGGTTTGCTTTGACTTGAACAGAGACATAAAAATAAGTAATCGTTTTATTTTTTTAGTTTTAAATCACCTATACCACCACAAATTAAACACACACATATTAAACTTTTTTTCCTCTTTTTTTTCATTCATTTTCTTAAATTTTTTTCCAATTTTTAATATATTTTTACCTCATCCTCATCGGACGAATCCAGCACAATAATTGAACTCATTTTATACGAATTCCCGTTTTACTAACGTTAAAACAAGTTTTTCTTTTGCTAAATGTGCAAATTGTTAACAATTTAAACAATTATTTTTAATTTCTTAAATTTTCTTTGATAAAAAATTTTCTTCTGACGGGCGGCACTTATTTTTATTACACACATTCAACCTCTTCTTTTTCACAAAAACTACTACGACAACGACGACGATTATCTGCATACGAAGTCGAAATAATTACGACGAATTGCTGCTATATTTATGATATTCTTTTTTTTTCTTTTAATTTTTCCAACAAATATTCTATTTGTATTTGAGAAGTTGAGAGTAAAAATCAGCAGCAGCAGCATGTGAGTTGACAATAAAAAATTACTCATTTTTTTGACATACATAATGGGATTTTTTTGTTTACAACAGCGATGTATGAAAATGGGTATTTTTATTAATCGGTTATTCGTTTATGTGTGCAGAAATTGTGTAGAGTTACCTAGTTGTTTGTCAAGATAGTGGTGCGGTAATGCAGTGTATGATAGATAGGGCAGTTTTGTGTTGTTAAGCTTTCAATTATCATGTGTGAAAATTTGTAGTGTAAGAACGGCTTTGGTCGTACATTGTTTACTTTTTTAACCAATGTTGCTAATAAAAGTAAAACAATTTCCTTTGAAAATACGGAAGCAATTTAAATGAATAACATATATAGAGGTAGGGTTGTCGAAAAAAGTCGAAGTCGACTATTTCGTTCCAAAAAAGTCGATAACTCGACTATCGTCTGTGAAAAAAGTCCAAAAGTCGACTTTGTTAATAAAAGTCGAAAAAAGTCGAAAAGTCTGAAAATCGAAAAAAGTCGATAAGTCGAATAAAGCCGAAAAAAGTCGAAGAAAGTCGAAAAAAGTCGTGAAAAGTCGAAAAGTCAAAAAAAGTCGGAAAAAGTCGAAAACTCGAAAATTTTAGAAACAAGTCAAAAATAGTCGAAAATTTTAAAAAGTCGGAAAAACTCAAAAAAAGTCAAAAAAAAGTTGAAAGAAGTCGAAAATAGTCAAAAGAGTAGAAAAAATCAAAAAGTCGGAAAAAGTCGAAAAATGTCGAAAAAAGTCGAAAAGTCGGAAAAAGTCGAAAAGTCGACTATTTATAAAATACTTATAGTCGAAAAGTCTAAAGTCGACTTTTAATTAAATGAAAAAAGTCGAAAAGTCGAAAAATCGACTTTTCATAAAATGCAAAAAGTCGAAAAGTCGACTTTTAACTAAATGAAAAAAGTCGAAAAGTCGACTTTTCGTTTCAACTATAGAACCCTATATAGAGGGATTTAAATAGACTTTTCTAGTTTTAGATTTTACTGCCTGATTACAATTGGAGCTATTGTCGACAAACCAAAATAAAAAAAACCGAGCGACGCATTATAATTTGTTAAAAACTGGAAGTGGCCTCCGGTAGGTTAGTGTTCTAGTCTGGTAGACCGTAGGTGGTGGGTTCGATTCCCACCTGAGGCACTGGTTAAGGAGCGCACAACAGGCCCGATAGAGGCCTAGGTGTATTTCTTCGGATTTGATGTATATACATCCTCCTTTCAAACTAACTAACTAAAAACTGGAACGTTACCACATAAAGTAAGAGTACAGTGATAGGGCCGCCATAGATAGAAATAGAATAGAAGTTATTAATAACTACTTTTTACGAACATTATCTATGATTATCGTCTTCTTTCACCTTTTTCCGACATATTTCCATTGTTCGAGGTCGATTTTTCCGACTAATTCGACTTTTATTTACAATGCTTTCGAATATATATTTTTTTTTCCAGTTTTTGTGACTTTTATTTGTAAAATCGATTCTTTGACTTATTTCTTACAATATACATACATATGTAGTCGATTTATCGACTTTAGTAGGACAAATGTCGACTTCGACTTTTTCCGCAAAAGTTATAGAATAATTCTATAAATTGACTTTAAAATAATCGAAGAATCGACTTTTTGTCTGAAGTCAATTTTTTTTTGTCTTAGCAAAGTCGAAAATTCGACTATCTTGTAGGAAAAAGGCCAAAGAATCGGTTTTGGAAATAAAAAAAATTGGAAAAGTCGACATTTCATTAAACGAGTAGAGTCGAAAAGTCGACTTTTTATAAATCGCAGAAAATCGATTTTTAAAAATGTCGAAAAGTCGACTTTTTGTTTTAACTAAAGAACCATAAGAAAATAAGGTTCTATGAATCGACTTTAAAATAATCGAAGAATCGACTTTTTGTCGGAAAAAGTCTAAGTCGACTATTTTGTCCTAACAAAGTCATAAAGTCGACTTTTTTGACCTAACAAAAAGTCGACTATCTTATAAGAAAAAAGTCGAAGAATCGATTTTGCAAATAAAAGTCGAAAAAAAAAATCGGGAGAAAAGTCGGAAAAAATTTTAAAAAGTCGAAAAATTTCGAAAAGTATTATGCGGTTTTTTTTATCGAAGGAAAATACATTTTTGATCCCGTAGGATACACATTTCTCTCGGTTTGGCAATTAATATGTTTCCAAATTAATAGGTTTCCAAAACTGCTTTCCGCTTTCTGATTTCAGCTTTGAGATTAAAGAACATACGTGCCAAAGTTGATATTTTTACATTTGTATACCAAAGTGTTCTCCGTAGAGATTTAACAATCCTAGGACCATGTCAAATTTTATCCTCATCAGTCTAGCAATTTAGATATAGCAGATTTATTTCTAAAATACTTTGATTCTGCTCCACTGTGCCTAAATATATAGTGGCATTTACAAGTTGAAAACCCATTCCATTCTGCTATTGTGTTCAATAAAATAAAATTATTCAGTATTCTTATACATAATTAAAAATATCATTAGAATTTAGAGCTTGTGCGTGAATATAAAGTAACATTTACAATTTGAATTTAATTTTATATCAATATTTGGAATTTTATTGATTTCCCATAAGAAAATATGTTTTAAGGGGTAAAGGAAACAAAACAAATATTCTTATTAGATTTGAATGGAAAATATTAAAAATGTGAATAACAAATTTTTTAACTTATAGGAAATAAAAACCGAATTATCTTTATTTTATATTAATAATACATATTAATAAAATAGTCCCAAAATTTTCCCATAAAGTATTTAAAAAGCATAAATAATAACGTTAGTTAGAAAATGTTAAATACACCATCTGGTAACACTAATTTCCATTGTAAACAATTCATAGTATAGTGTAAAAACGGCCATTATTTATGTTTTTTCATATTTTGCTTTATCCCTTCTTTTCTTTCAAAAATAATTCATTTTATTAGTTTGACATTTACACGCAAAGTGGTCGGTTGTGTTTACAAGAGAATTTTACGCAGAAATCGAAAAGTAGTAATGAACGGGGGAATTAGTTTTTATGAATGAATAACTTTTCTACAATTGCATTCTAATAAGAAATATAAATACTAGCCTTTAAATAGGAAAATGTTTTTTTAATAAGAAAATAATATAAAAACTACAGTAGTTTGGAAAGATTTGACAAATTTCTTAAGTGAATTTAGTTTAATTTTTTATTTCGTAGTTTTTACAAGAAAATAGGCAAAACAAAAAAAAAAAAAAACGAAACACGCAAACAAACAACAACAAAAAAAAGCAAATAAATAATACAAAAAGAAATTCCTTTACATTATTAGATTAACAAAATTTAAAATAAACTTAAACGAAAAAAATTTATGAGTGCCTATGAGGAAACAGATTCAGCGACAGTTTCGCTTTTGACAGGACACCAGGTGGTGGTGGTGGAAGGCAGCAGTAACGATATTAGCAGTGGCAAAAACTTGGCAGTTAGCAGTAAGTTAGTGACAGCAGGAGCTAGGTCGGCCAGATCCCAACAACGCAGTGGCTTGATAACAAAACGTCGTAAGATGTCGCGTAGAGCAAATCTTATAGGCATTTGTGGCGTTAGTGGCTTGTGCATTCTGTTGCTGATAGCCACCACCCAACACAGACCACTGCCCGCTTCGTTAGCCTCGTCGGGCGGTATGGTGGGTAGTGGTGGCTTGGGAGGCGGTAGTGTTAACATGGCAGTTGGGGGTGCTGCTAACACTGCTTCCGGTGGCTATTCCTCTGCAGGCAATGGTCTTGGTTCTGGCTCCGCTTTTGCCGGAGAACGTTTCGGTCATGCCGTGCCTCAGCAGACAGCAGTAATGTACAATATGACGGCCACTATTAACGATGTGATTGCCCAGCAACGTGCCAAAGTGGCCAGTGAAATGGAGAATTTTGAATACCCGGCCGGACGTTTTGGTGTCGAAGCTGAAAAGCTATCCGATTTAACACCTGAAACTGAAGGAACTCCCGTGCGTAGTATAGTGGTGACGACCTGGCGTTCAGGTTCTACTTTCTTGGGTGACATTTTAAATGCCATGCCGGGGAATTTCTATCATTATGAACCTTTACTGGACTTTGGCATTAAACAGATACGCGATCCCGATGATGAAGAGCAGGCCATTAAGAATATAAAAAATTTACTCTACTGTGATTATCACAACGACATGGATGACTACTTAAACTTTGGCAAAAGTCATACGTACTTATTCGAACACAATGAACGTTTATGGACGGTGTGCAAGGAGTTTCCTCACTACTGTTGGCGTCCCAAGTTTTTGACACCCTTCTGTAAGCTGTTCCCGTTGCAGAGTATGAAAACGGTGCGTTTACGTTTAAGTACGGCAGAGGCATTGTTGGAGGATAAAAGGTGAGTTTTGAAAACTGTTACATTTGTAGAATATTATTAAGTGAGAATATATAGTATACAATTGTAAGTACATATTGGGAAACCCAAAAATAAAAAATCCATGTACATATGCGATTTTTAAATAAATTTTTCAGAAAAATTTTATTCAGTTTAGTTCGGTTCTAGTTCAGTACTAGTACAGTACAAGTTCAGTTCTAGTTCAGTACTAGTTCAGTTCTAGTTCAGTTCTAGTTCAGTTCTAGTTCAGTTCTAGTTCAGTTCTAGTTCAGTTCTAGTTCAGTTCTAGTTAAGTTCTAGTTCAGTCTAGTTCAGTTCTAGTTCAGTTCTAGTTCAGTTCTAGTTCAGTTCTAGTTCAGTTCAGTTCAGTTCTAGTTCAGTTCTAGTTCAGTTCTAGTTCAGTTCTAGTTCAGTTTCTAGTTCGTTCTAGTTCAGTTCTAGTTCAGTTCTAGTTCAGTTCTAGTTCAGTCTAGTTCAGTTCTAGTTCAGTTCTAGTTCAGTTCTAGTTCAGTTTCTAGTTCAGTTCTAGTTCAGTTCTAGTTCAGTTCTAGTTCAGTTCTAGTTCAGTTCTAGTTCAGTTCTAGTTCAGTTCTAGTTCAGTTCTAGTTCAGTTCTAGTTCAGTTCTAGTTCAGTTCTAGTTCAGTTCTAGTTCAGTTCTAGTTCAGTTCTAGTTCAGTTCTAGTTCAGTTCTAGTTCAGTTCTAGTTCAGTTCTAGTTCAGTTCTAGTTCAGTTCTAGTTCAGTTCTAGTTCAGTTCTAGTTCAGTTCTAGTTCAGTTCTAGTTCAGTTCTAGTTCAGTTCTAGTTCAGTTCTAGTTCAGTTCTAGTTCAGTTCTAGTTCAGTTCTAGTTCAGTTCTAGTTCAGTTCTAGTTCAGTTCTAGTTAGTTCTAGTTCAGTTCTAGTTCAGTTCTAGTTCAGTTCTAGTTCAGTTCTAGTTCAGTTCTAGTTCAGTTCTAGTTCAGTTCTAGTTCAGTTCTAGTTCAGTTCTAGTTCAGTTCTAGTTCAGTTCTAGTTCAGTTCTAGTTCAGTTCTAGTTCAGTTCTAGTTCTGTTTAGTTCAGTTCTAGTTCAGTTCTAGTTCAGTTCTAGTTCAGTTCTAGTTCAGTTCTAGTTCAGTTCTAGTTCAGTTCTAGTTCAGTTCTAGTTCAGTTCTAGTTCAGTTCTAGTTCAGTTCTAGTTCAGTTCTAGTTCAGTTCTAGTTCAGTTCTAGTTCAGTTCTAGTTCAGTTCTAGTTCAGTTCTAGTTCAGTTCTAGTTCAGTTCTAGTTCAGTTCTAGTTCAGTTCTAGTTCAGTTCTAGTTCAGTTCTAGTTCAGTTCTAGTTCAGTTCTAGTTCAGTTCTAGTTCAGTTCTAGTTCAGTTCTAGTTCAGTTCTAGTTCAGTTCTAGTTCAGTTCTAGTTCAGTTCTAGTTCAGTTCTAGTTCAGTTCTAGTTCAGTTCTACTTCAGTTCTAGTTCAGTTCTAGTTCAGTTCTAGTTCAGTTCTAGTTCAGTTCTAGTTCAGTTCTAGTTCAGTTCTAGTTCAGTTCTAGTTCAGTTCTAGTTCAGTTACTAGTTCAGTTCTAGTTCAGTTCTAGTTCAGTACTAGTTCAGTTCTAGTTCAGTTCTAGTTCAGTGCAGTTCTAGTTCAGTTCTAGTTCAGTTCTAGTTCAGTCTAGTTCAGTTCTAGTTCAGTTCTAGTTCAGTTCTAGTTCAGTTCTAGTTCAGTTCTAGTTCAGTTCTAGTTCAGTTCTAGTTCAGTTCTAGTTCAGTTCTAGTTCAGTTCTAGTTCAGTTCTAGTTCAGTTTGTTCTCAGTTCAGTTCTAGTTCAAATCTAGTTCATTTCAATTTATTTTTTTAAATATTTTGGTTAACAATCTAAGACTTACACTTTGGTCTAGGTCACTTAAATAGTACTATTACTATTTTATATATTTTTTTAATTATTTGGAAATGAGCCAAAATTTTACTATATACGCGTGTGTAGAAATAATTAAAATATTATTTTTAAATCACATATTTTCAAAAAGATTTGTGTTTAAGTAATTTAATTTCTTTTAAATTTAAAGAAAGTTTATTTGAAAGATCTTAGTCCTTGAAAATGTATAATTTTATTATTACTACAAAAATATCTAGTACAATTGAACAGTATTTTTATTTGTTTTTAATAAAATCTTTTTTAAGCAACAGCAGGGGGTTAGTTTGTTTTTCTTTTGAAAGAAAAAAATTCAAAATGCAAAGTCTAGAGCTAAAACACTTATTTTCCAATAAGATTATAGAGCAAAACTAAACAAAACTATATTAAAAAGAAATGTTTTTACACAAAAGATTTCTTTAAACATTTTCTTTAACTTATTATTGTTTAATTTTTTAAGTAAAGTTTTCTAAAATGTTTATAAATACGAAAATCATTAACGAAAAATGACTTTAACATTTCTTCAAAGTTATTTTTATAGTGTTTTTGTGTGTATGTGATAAATAATTTCTCAACTTTTTTATAACTATAAAAAAATTTTACAATTTAAAGCAACAAATTTAGCATATAATTGTTAATTATTTTCATAGCATTAAAAATGCAATTAAATCACACATTTTATACATACTATATACAGACCTTAATGTGTTAAATTAGTTACAATGTACATATTATTCCAATAATTTTGTATTTTTAAGAAATATTTAAATAAATAAAACTTATTTGTGTTAGGAATTTAATTGGATTATTTTTAAACAGACAAAAGATTAATTTATTTCTATCAGACAAGAAGAGAGAAAAAGAAACTCCTTTAAAAGTAATTTTTCATAAAAACGTAGTTCAAATATAATTTAGTTCTAGTTCAGTTTTAATTCAGTTCTAGTTTAGTTTTAGTTCAGTTCTATTTCAGTTCTAGTTCAGTTCTAGTTTAGTTCTAGTTCAGTTCTAGTTCAGTTCTAGTTCAGTTCTAGTTCAGTTCTAGTTCAGTTCTAGTTCAGTTCTAGTTCAGTTCTAGTTCAGTTCTAGTTCAGTTCTAGTTCAGTTTTAATTCAGTTCTAGTTCAGTTCTAGTTCAGTTCTAGTTCAGTTCTAGTTCAGTTCTAGTTCAGTTCTAGTTGAGTTCTAGTTCAGTTCTAGTTCAGTTCTAGTTCAGTTCTAGTTCAGTTCTAGTTCTGTTCTAGTTTTGTTCTAGTTCTGTTCTAGTTCTGTTCTAGTTCTGTTCTAGTTCTGTTCTAGTTCAATTCTAGTTCAGTTCTAGTTCAGTTCTAGTTCAGTTCTAGTTCAGTTCTAGTTCAGTTCTAGTTCAGTTCTAGTTCAGTTCTAGTTCAGTTCTAGTTCAGTTCTAGTTCAGTTCTAGTTCTGTTCTAGTTCTCTAGTTCAGTTCTAGTTCAGTTCTAGTTCAGTTCTAGTTCAGTTCTAGTTCAGTTCTAGTTCAGTTCTAGTTCAGTTCTAGTTCAGTTCTAGTTCAGTTCTGGTTCAGTTCTAGTTCAGTTCTAGTTCAGTTCTAGTTCAGTTCTAGTTCAGTTCTAGTTCAGTTCTAGTTCAGTTCTAGTTCAGTTCTAGTTCAGTTCTAGTTCAGTTCTAGTTCAGTGCTAGTTCAGTTCTAGTTCAGTTCTAGTTCAGTTCTAGTTCAGTTCTAGTTCAGTTCTAGTTCAGTTCTAGTTCAGTTCTTGTTCAGTTCTAGTTCAGTTCTAGTTCAGTTCTAGTTCAGTTCTAGTTCAGTTCTAGTTCAGTTCTAGTTCAGTTCTAGATCAATTATAGTACGTTTATTTTTAAATACCCTGTTTTACTTTGTACCTCATTTGTTTTTATTTATACATTTTGTTTAACTATTGCAAATCTTTGTAATATCTTTGACTAGTAAAACTACTTGCCATAGTTTCTTATAATTTTCCATTTTTGTTATCTTTTCATGCAAAACAAAAAAAAAAAGAAAATAATTTTTATCAAGATGACAGTGAGATGAAAACCATTGTTGTTGTCATATTTATTATATGGCTTTTGTTTTAGTGTGTTTTTGCACTATTTAATAGTTTGTACTTTTAAGCAAGTATGTACCTGATTTTCATTTAACCATTAAAAACAATGTATTGTTTGTTAACTTGGCCATAAATAAAAGTGTAATTATAGACATGACATAAAGAAAGCCTCTGACTGGTGAATGTTTTGAATTTGTTTAAGATCAAGTTGCAGATAACAGCACTTTCTATCTAAAAGATTTTTATTATATTTAATTTGAAAATTAAAAAGTACTTGTGTTATAATTATAAACCTAAGTAGTTCATAAAACAACTGATTACTTTAACAACAATGTTTAAATAATAAATTTGTTTCTTTATAAACATTTCTATTTGTTAAGGGATTGATGTTGAGGCAGGCCATGGTTTGAGTACATAGTGCTGTCTTTTTATCAGAATTATTGTCGTTGCTGTAATTATTGACGCAATTAAAATCATTGTCATATAAGGTCATAAGTATTGATTTTTTCACGTTATTGTTTAGTTACTACTGTTTAGCAAATAACTGTGGGAGAATTCCTTTGATAGTGAATTTTTATCTGTTTATAGTAACCATATGTATTATTTTTAAAATTATTAATAAATAAATATTTGTTTTGCTAGTCTACCCGCATTTTAGTTATTTTTTAGTTTAACTAGATTGTATTGTTTTTTAATTGCCGGCATGTTTGAGTATAAATATTGAACTAACAATATTTGTTTTTAAAATAACAAATGCTTAGGTTTTGTGTCGCTTCAAAGAATTGAGAAGATAGTGACAGCTAACGTGTCAATTATAGTAAATTATGACAAAAAATAAGAAACAAATTAAAAATATTTTTTTATGCAAATTATATTTTCTTCTGAACAGAACTAGAACAGGAACTGAACTGGAGCAGAAGTAGAACAGAACTAGACTAGAACTAGAACAGGAACTGAACTAGAACTGAACTGGAACAGAAGTAGAACAGAACTAGAAAAGAACTAGAACTGAACTAGAACTGAACTAGAACTGAACTAGAACTGAACTAGAACTGAACTAGAACTGAACTAGAAC